GGGACAACTAATTTTAATGTTCTTTGAAGTAGGTTCTTGATGTAAGGAAAGTTGGTTTACCTCTAAAATTTGCGTCCTCGTAGCTAGTAAAAAACGGGAAAATCTGTTGTTGTTGTTTTTGTTCTTTTTTTTAGGGGACCCAACCTTTTTGGAAGGCTTATCCTTTCTTATTATACAAAAAAAGCAGCCCATAAAAACTGTGGATGCTCGGTTTGGAAAACGAGAGAAAAAAAAAGCAAAAACACTTTCACCTTCGATTCAAAACCCCAGGGGGGACCTTTTCGGTATTGTTGGGCCGCGAAAACGCCCTAAAAACCCATCGGACCCCACTGAGGCCGGTTATCTCTAACGGTGGTTTTAATGTCCGAAAACTTGAATTCCAAAATTTCACGGGAGTTTGCGCAATTCCTCACACCACACAGTCTCTTTCGGTTAGTGGTTTTTACTGGTCTACACCCGAAAAAAAAACAGGTTTGGAACTTCCACACTGGTTCCCACGTCTTTCCCCACCACTAGAAAACTCGGAGGAAGATTTTCCTCCACCAAGCTAGTCCGTCCCACTAGTGAGCCAACAGGTAAAATTTTTGGCATTAACGGGTTTTTTTGTTGTTGGAAAGATTGTTTAAAGTTTTTTACCCACATTTTTTTTTTTTAGTTATTCATTTAAAACTGAGGGAAAACTCTGCTAGAAAACTGTTTTTGTTTTACTAAAAAATTTAGAAAAACTGACCACTTTTCCGGGCCTTATTTTCCCTATTTTTTTATGGGATTAGATTCATCGATAAAATTTATTTTAATTCATATACAAAAAAAAACATAAATAGTTTTAGTAAAAGGCAGTTTTTATACCAAATCCCAGAATTACATGGTTCCCACCCAATTTTTACCAAAAACTAAAATTTGATATACACACAAAAAAAGCTCTAGGATTAACTGGATGGGAAAACGAAATAGGTCTCTATGCAACCCCATTTGCTTGATCAAACCCAAACTTGTTCCCATTTGAGCTTACACAATCTTACTAAAAACGTTGCTTTTTCAAAACTTTCCTTCAAGGGTCCAAAAAAATTCGTGAAAGTTGGTCCCCGCTTTCCTAAGGAAAACCCACCTTGGGTTTTTAGTTTTTTTGGGGTTCTCCGGGGTTAGTTAGTTATCCCCAGCTTTTTAACTCCACAAAGTTTCAATAAATTTTTTGTTGTGGGGCGGCACTAAAAAAATATTTTTAGGTTCTTTCCCTCATTTTTAAAAAAATTAGGGGGGGGGGAACGTGTTTAGAAAAAAAAATAAAAAAAAAAAAAAAACAATGTGTCTTTTGAAAAAAAAAGGAAATAATTTTTATTCAAAAAGAAATTATTTTTTTGCTTTTTTTCCAACAATTAAGGAAAGGCCACTATGTTGGAGGATTTTTTGTTTTAGAGGGAACAGAGAGATTACTAAAAAAACAAAAAAAACCATAGTTATGAAAAAAAAGGAACTTTTGACATAAAAAAAAAAAAAACATTTAAAACTAAATTCCTTTGGGGGACTAAAACATTTTTTGGAGGAATTATCAAAAAAAAAAACAACCGCGTTTTTTTTTTTTTTTCTTTTATTTTTTTGCCAATTAGAAAAAACGGGGGAAAAAAAAAAACGGTTAAAAAACCTTTACTTTTTTTGGTAGTCCGCCTTTTTTTTTTTTACTACTCCAATGGCACCGGAAATTTTTTGGACACACCATTTAATTTTTTCATGAGGTAAAAAGGTTTTTTTTTTTAAAATAAATTTTGTTTTTTTTTGAAAAAAAAACCAAAAAACCGAAAGAAGATGGGATTGGATTGTTTTTGGAAAACTTGAAAAAATGGAAAATTTTTTTGGGACCAATAGTTAAAATAAAAAAAATAAAAAATAAAAAAACGCATTTTAGTTTTTAAAAAAAAAAAATTTGGCAGATTATATATTACATAAAAAAAAATTTCAAGTTTTTTTAGTTTTGTTTTTTTTTGCGGGTTGCAAGGATAAATAGGAATTTTTCCGTGGAGGGTTTTTTTTTACATTAGGATTCTTTTAAATTTTTTGTTTTTAAACTGAAAAAACTCTCTTTGTTTTGATTTGGAGTTTTTGAAGATGTGGTGTTTCCCAGGAAACGAAGCGGAAAATTTTCCTTTTTTATCAATTGCCCAGGCATGGGGGGACAAGTGGAAAATTGGGGTTCCTATTTCGCATTGGAATTGTTTTGAGTAAAAAAATTCTTGGTGTTTGTTGTTTTTACTATTATAAAAAAAATAAGGAAATATATATTTACCAGGGACCCAGATTAATTTTCAATTTGTATTTTTAACTGGGGTTGGGGGAAAAAACATCCATAAAGAAGAAATTTACCTAAAGGTTTTTTCCATTATAGGTTTTAAAAAACTTTATCTTTACTTGTGGCATTGAAAAATTTAACCTAACTGCTCTTTTTTTATTGTATGTGTCTGAATTGGTTTTTAGGCCCTTTTTTGAAAAAAGATGTTTCATAAAGGGGCTTATTTATGGAAAGAAAAAAAAAAACCTTTTTTTTATTTGGGGCTTGCTGCCAAGTTTAGTGATTTAGTATTAGGTATTTGACTAACTCCCATTTAGTAATAAAATCCAAAGTTGGGTTTTTTTTTACCTATTCCAAATTATTTTTTTTCCACCCTTATTGAAAATCTTTCCCAAAACTTTGAATGTGCTGCTTAAAAAGAGAAGAGGGATTTTAGGTTTTTGGGGGGGGGGGGCGGGAAAAAAAAAAAAAAAAAAAAAAACCTCACATTATAATGAAAAATACAAGAGATGAAAGGAGGGTTTTAAAAAGAAGGGGGGACCCAACCCACGTGGAGCCACGTGAATCGTCTTCTTCTTTTGTCCTTTTACATTTTTCCTTCCGATTTGTTTGGTTTGTTTGGGGTTGAGAGGGAAAGAGATTCAACGTGCTTTCCTAAACCTGGTGGGGGGTTTTATTTCTTACCTGTGCATCTGTAAATTTTAAGATTTATATTGGGGGGAGTTATTCCCCCCCCCCCAAAAAAACTAACAAAATCTCTCTTTTTTTAAAAAGGGCAGGCCACATCGTATCGCCCAAGTTTGAGATTTCATAGGTGAAAAATAATTGATAGGTAAAACACTTGGATTTATACTAATGGAGTTAGTCAATACTATCACTAACTGCAGCCCAAATAAAAAGGTTTTCTTTCATAATAAGCCTTATGACATCTTTCAAAAGGCTAAACAATCAGACATAATAAAAGCAGTAGGTAATTTCAATGCACAAGTAGATAAGTTAAACTATAATGAAAACTTAGGTAATTTCTTATGATGTTCCCACCCAGTAAATACAATGATATCTGTCTGTATATATATTCTTATTTATAATAGTAACACACAAGATTTACTCAACAATCAATGCGAATAGACCAATTCACTGTCATGCTGCATTGATAAAAGAATTTCGCTCGTTCTGGAACACATCTCAACTCCAATCAAACAAGAGTTCAGTTAAACAAATTAAAGATCTAATGTAAACCTCACGAAATTCTATTATCCTGCACCGCAAACAAACTAAACTTGATTTTTATGTATATATATCTGCAATTTTTTTTAAAACTATGCGTTATTTATTTTTATTTACTATTGTCAAAATTTCATTTTCAGTTCAAACATCATCATCATCTTCGGTTGGTTCAAAAACAATTTATTTAAAACCTTTACCTCATGAAAATAATGTGTCAAATTCCGGTGCATTGAGTAGTAAAAAGCGACTACCAAAAGTAGGTTTACGTTTTTTTCCCCGTTTCTATTGGCATAAAATAAAGAATAAAAACGCGTTTTTTTGATATCCTCAAAATGTTAGTCAAAGATTAGTTGAATGTTTTTTTATGTCAAAAGTCTTTTCATACTATGTTTTGTTTAGTATCTCTGTCTCTAACAAAATCTCACATAGTGCTTTCTAATTGTGAAAAGCAAAATAATTCTTTGATATAACTATTCTTTTCAATAGACATTGTTTTATTTTTTCTAAACACGTCTATTTTTAAATGAGGAACCTAAATATTTATGCGCCACACAAATTATTGAACTTGTGAGTAAGCTGGGATACTACTACCCGGAGACCCAAACTAAACCAAGTGGTTTCCTTAGGAAGCGACACTTCACGATTTTGACCCTTGAGAAGTTGAAGCAACGTTAGTAGATGTAGCTCAATGACAGTTGGTGATCAGCAATGGGTGCATAGACTATTCGTTCCATCAGTATCCTAGAGCTTTTGTGTATCATTAGTTTGGTAAATTGTGACATGTATTCTGGATTGTATAACTGCTTACTAACTATTATGTTGTATATGAATAAATTTATCGATGATCTATCCATAAAATAGGAATAAGCCGGAAAGTGTCAGTTTCTAATTTTAGTAACAAACAGTTCTAGCAGAGTTTTCTCAGTTTAATGAATAACTAAAAAAAATGTGTAACTTAACAATCTTCACAACAAACCCGTAATGCAAATTACCTGTGCTCACTAGTGACGACTAGCTTGGTGAGGAATCTTCTCCGAGTTCTAGTGGTGGGAAGACGTGACCAGTGAAGTTCAACCTGTTCGGGTGTAGACAGTAACCACTACCGAAGACTGTGTGTGAGATTGCGCAACTCCGTGAATTTGATCAAGTTCGACATTAACACCGTTAGATACCGGCTCAGTGGTCCGATGGTTAGGGCGTTCGCGCACAATACCGAAGGTCCTGGGTTTGAATCGAAGGTGAAGTGTTGCTTTTCTCGTTCACCGAGCATCCACAGTTATGCTGCTTTTGTATAATAGAAGGATAGCCTTCAAAAAGGTTGGTCCTAAAAATAGCACACAACAACAGATTTCCGTTACTAGCTACGACGCATTTAGAGTACCAACTTCTTACATCAAGAACTACTTTCAAGAACATTAAAGTGTCAGGTCGTCAAGGTCACTGCTAACCAAATTAAGTTTTCAGATGCTTTAAGAAGTACTGTTCTATAGCATAAGCAATTGGTTGGGGGGTGGGGATAACAGCAACTTTCATACATCGAACAACACAACAGATCATAATACCAGTTACTTTAAATGTATTTAAACCCTTACTTCTGTCTGAATTTTTTTTTTAAATTGTAACAAATTATCATTTCCAATATCAATACTACTTATGAGATATAAGCATTTTTCTTACAAGGTTCTATTTGTATTATACACTAAAACAAAGTAAGTTAAAATCAATTAGGATATTGTCTTGTGTATGTGTGTATGCACAATTTATCTCTTTAATGCATGTTTTGCTTGGTTGATTCTGTTGTGCTTGCGCGCCAGGAATGTCCACTTTCTCCATTTTTATTTAATGTTGTCATAGACATGCTGCTAGATGTAACTTTATCCTCGTCTGAATTTTCAGGAGTCGACTGTCTACTAGGAAAATCGCTTACTGACCTGGAATATGCCGATGACATGGTTCTATTCTGTGAAGACGCTGACAAAATGCAGAGTCTTCTGACCACCTAAGCAGCATGTTAGGGATGCGGTTTTCCCTTTCGAAATGCAAAATATTGCTTCAAGATTGGCTTGTATCAGCACCTGAACTAATGATAGGGAGTGAAGCAATTGATCGTGTAGACCGCTTCACTTATCTGGAGAGTCTCATTAGTGCTGATGGCCTGGTGACTGACGATATATCACCACGGATACAAAAAGCTCGATTTGCTTTTGTCAGTTTACACCGTTTATGGCGTGGGCGAGATATACGTTCGCTAACCAAAGGACGGGTGTACTGCAGTTCGCTCCGTTCTCCTATATGGACGCGAAACATGGCCGTTAAGAGTAGATGTTCGTAGGTTACTAGTCTTCGATCATAGATGTCTTAAAAGCATTACTCGAGTATCGTGGGACAACTGAGTAAGCAAAGCTGCCGTTAAGAAACGAGAACTAGGTAAGGATGGCAGATAAATAGATGAAGTGGTGAAACTTCATCAGTTGAGGTGGTTGGGATATGTGTTACGTATGGCTAACCACCGACTGTCTCGACGAGCTATGTTTTGTAGTGTAGAGGAGTAGGTTGGAAGAAAGTTAGGGGTGGCCAAACCAAAACATTGCAGAAATCTATGAAGTCACTGGCAAGTGGACTGAGTGATGTTGGTAGATGTAGGCTACCTGGTTGGGGTCCGCGAGACGAAAGTCTGTGTGCTAATGTGGTATATCAACTTAAACAGATATACGTACATACGAAGTTCTACTTTGTAGCTGACTGAATATCTGACTTAATTACATACGATTTGCCTTAAAGGGAATTCTATTTGATTACTGAACTTTTCTACTTCATAATAAGAAATTTCTATTGATTTTAAGGATCGTATATTGTTAGTCTTTATTACGTTAGTCATAAAATACAAATTATTTACCGCTGCACTTTAAAATTCGCGCAAAATACATGGGGCGTTATCTTCATTCTGATTGGCTCGCTCAAGGTCGTCAATGTATTATATGCTTACTTGGTATTCGTATATTTAATACAAGCTTAATTATCAGTGTAGCGAACAAATACTAGTACAATTTTCTCATGTTAATCGTTTTTTCGATGTTATTAAGACTAGCCAATAATCGACTTTGTTGATTTGTGAAAATTTTTTACAACAGAGAACGCGTCATATGTGGGAACTACCACGTAAAGTATACTGAATTGATGAGACACAGGGTATATTTGTTAAAAAAATTGAGTTGATTGGTGTGGTCCAACCTTTAATTATGTCAACTGAGATCATTAAAATCTGTGTTACATACATCCAGCCTAAACCTGCAGCCAGTCAGTCAGTCAGTCAGCTACAACGTAGAACTTCATACGTACATACATCAGTTCAAGTTGCCAGACCACATTAACACACAGAGATCAAATTCTCAATCCAAATCCCGTAGGAGTAGAGGTAGTAGAAGTATTAGCGGTAATCTAAAAGATTAGAGATTGAAGATATGATTCCAGAACGATATCCCAGAGGAATCAATTCAAAGAAAGAGAGTGAGAAAAACGGTCATGAGGAATTTAGGAGATTAGAATTAGTGAGAAGATAAACAATGGATGTATCTACAAACTATTTTGAGCCATGTCATTCAAGGTCTCTAACAACCGGTTACTCAGTCAGTCAGTCAGTCAGTTGCAACGTAGAACTTTGTACATAAGTACATCAGTTCATGTTGCCATACCACATCAGCACAGAGAGGTAATCGTCAATTCAAATCCAATAGTAGAAGAGGTAGTAAGCGAATTAGAACTAATCGGAGGTTAGGATTAGAAGATACTATTCAAGAAGTATGATTCAGTGAGAAAAGTTTAGAGAGTCGAAACTAGAGGGGTTGAAGAATCCAGAAGATTAGCATTTGAGAGAACACAGAGAATAAATGCACCGGCGCCATTGCGAGCGATTCTGAGCCATGTCATTCAAGGTCTCTAACCATCGATTATTATGATCTCGCGGACCCCAACCAGGTAGTCGACAATTACCGACATGGCTCAGTCCACTAGTCAATGACTTCACGGATTCCTGCCATGTTTTGGTTTGGCCGCCCCTAACTTTCTTCCAACCTATTCCCACACTACAAAACAAGGCTCGACGAGGCAGTCGGTGGTTGGGCATACGCAACACATGTCCCAACCACCTCAACTGGTGAAGTTTCAATACTTCATCGATTGATCTGCCATTCTTACCTAGCACTCGTTTCCTAATAACAGCGTTGCTCACTCGGGTGTCCCAGGATATACGAGCAATGCTTCGAAGACACCTATGGTCGAAAACCAGTAACCTACGAATATCTTCTACTCTCACTGGCCATGTTTCACAGCCATAAAGTAAGACGGAGCGAACTACTGCGCAGTACACTCGTCCTTTAGTCAGCAAACGGATATCTCGCCTACGCCATAAGTGACGCAGGTTGGCAAAAGCCAATCGAGCCTTCTGTATCCGTGCTGAGATTTCGTCAGTCACAAGGCCATCGGCACTGATGAGACTCCCAAGATAAGTGAAGCGGTCTACACGTTCGACTACTTCACTCCCTATCACTAGTTCAGGTGCCGATGCAACCCAGTCTTGAAGCAACATTTTGCATTTCGAGGGGGAAAACCGCATCCCGAACATGCTTGCATTGTTGCTTAGGGTAGTCAGAAGACTCTGCATTTTGTCAGCGTCTTCACCAAGTAGGACAATGTCATCGGCATATTCTAAGTCAATAAGCGAGCTACCTGGTAGAAGGTCTACTCCTGAAAATTCAGACGAGGATAACAACCGGTTACTATCTTGGTGTGGCATCCTGACCTAATGATGTACGTACATACGAAGTTCTACGTTGTTAATCTTGGTAATGTTGGATCGCCGAAATTCTTTTGTTAGACTTCTTGATTTCGTAATTTACTTATGGAAATTCTAATTTCTTATTTTCGTGTCAAAAGCTCCGTTTATGTTGGGGACGTTAATTCCCTAGTACTCATTTGTGAAAGGTCCCAATTTTGGTTTTTATGTTTTCGGGCATGTGCTGATCGGTTGACCTTGAGATTGCATTTCTCAGCCAGAAAATCCTTGACTGTTATTAGTTGATGTATTATTTTAGTACGCTATTCTTTTGGTTCTCTCAAGGGCGTTTCTATGATACATACTTAAACTGACTCTGAACTTCTTCCTGTAGTTAATTGGGTTGGGGGCATAGAATCATCAATCAATCCATAGCAATGTAGAACTTTGTACGTATGTACATCAGTTCATGTTGCCATACCACA